AGTATATCTTTCTTTAAATCTGGAATATTGCTGCAACAGCCGATAGCACTTCTGGAAGGCGTTTCTGTGCACTTTTCGAATGTGTATTGCACCGTCCTGAAGGAAATGAGAGGACGTGAGATATTCAACCTTCCTGGGTGGACGTCACAAGAGCCGCTGGACCCATTCTCCTCAAACTCGGTCGTGAAACAAAATGGCGGTGTTTTGGAGCTATTTTCGAGATTTTGTCGGGGCACAGAAAATCGAGGATTTAACGGAATCCAAAAATTTTTTCGCAGAACTATTTTAAATAACAAGTAGATTCGTTTTAGCGAAAAAACATTTGGGGGGTTAGGTGCACTTTAATGCTTTTAAAAGGTATTAGAAAAGTGTGATATATTGCTAGAATAATTGCTACAATAGATTAATAAAGGATATGCAATTTAAAAAATACCTGTATTGCTGTTACGTACGTAATGTTCCTTTAAAGAATTGTTCAAAATCGATTCTTTATAGTAAGTAAGGTAAAGAAGCTGTCTTGTACTGTAAGTAGTGTTAATAGCCCTGTTGTATTGTAAGTAGTGTATGTAGCTTTTATTGTACTGTTCTAGTGCAAAGTAACAGCAAAAGTATATACTGTAAAGTATAAGCAAAAGAAACTCAACTCACGGCAAAACAAAATCAAGTCGACACGGCAAAACAAAATAAAATCAGGTAAAACATTTTAACGAATATTTCCTTAGACTTCGTCTCGGTGAATATTCACCAATGTTCACTTTGCCTTCAGCGAATAATTGTTAAATGACAGTACTCTTTTAAATACATGAATTGCTTTCCAGTTGATTGATGCCAGTCCTCGCACTGACATAAAACGACCTTTTAGACATGGTCACGTGACTGATGACGTCATCACACTAAGTTTGCGGAAAATTTTTATTTTGTGGAAAATTTTTATTTCATGACAAGAGATATTTTCTCAGAATGTTGTACTCTCCCGGACTTCAAACTGACAAAGTTATGACATGCTCATTTTCCAGCTGCAAAGGATGTTGGGAAGGATCTTATAATTATATTATTACTTTTAATCATTATTATCATATCATGAAATATGCTTTAAGTCAAATTCTGAACAATGATTTTTTTTTTTGGAATGTGCTGAAATGTCACTGCAGACACTCATCTGCCAATGTTCTCCCTACAATATCTGTAAATTGCAGATTCAAGACTCCATCACTGAAAAGTTCGTCTTGCTGCAAGTCAAAAGTCTGCCAGACCTTTTGCAAAGCTCCTCCATTATAGGGTCTGCTATTCAGGAAACAGTGTCTCTCAATTCACTGGTGAGCAACTTCAATTCAATTCAATTTTAAACTCTCGCAAACATTAATTTTACAGCGGTGTCGGAAAAAATAGAATGCATATAAATATATCATACAAATTACATATAGAAGATGCTAAATAGCAGTAATGAAATAATTTGCAATTGTGATTAAAAAATAAAGCGTTAAAGAGAGAAAGCAAAGGAGATAAAGGAAAACAAATAGTTTTAATGCAAGAGATTCGAAAGCTGACGTTTCGAAAGCCCTTCGTCGCTCCGACGAAGGGCTAACGCTCGAAACGACGCAGAAACTTACCCCCTCTATTCATTTGTTTTAATACAAGGTTGACTGTGTGGGGTTTGAGACACCTAAATAGTTTATGGAACTAATCGAGTAGGTGAACCAAAGTAACTAAATTTAGCAGAAGGAATACAATGTTAAATAAACAATTTAAGTCAAAAGAATTTCTTTAAGATCTAACTCCAAAAAAATAATTACATTTCAACTTAGGAACTAGTAATATTATTATAGCTGTCATTAAAGATGTGTCTATTATTCATCGTGGTGTAAGATAGGAGATATGAATTTAACTTATTTGTCTCACGATGGAGTCACTTCGAGATGTCGATCGCGACGTTTCGATTGCTATACTGCTAGTCTTCATCAGGTAATGAGGTCGATTGTTTACGTATCGCTATTTGCAACACCTTGGTTCGCTGCTATTGGTGCATTTCGATCCTCATTATTATTCCAACTTTGTGACACTGTTCCCTCGTAGGTCCGCATTGTAACTGGCCGGCTGTTGTGCTTTTTGACTGCATCTCATTTACTTTGACTGTTAGGTGCACCAACTGGGTTGTTTCTGGCAATCATTTAGTCAGTTAAACAGTGGCATAAGCTCTAAAACTTTTAACCACTATTCCATCATTTTCCAGTGTAAGTTCAAATGTTTATTAGCAATGGCCCTGATGACAACTACGAGTTTAATCAAGTATAAACAATTTTTCATATTTCAAAGGGTGACCGCTGGAAGCCATTTGCCTCTTTTCTGAAAAGACCAGCAATAACTTTTCTTTCTTGAAGATGCTGGGCAGGATTCTTGTTTTTCTTCTTTTCAACGTAAGAGAGCTGTATACAATGCCTTATAGAGCACTCAAATTCTTAACGGCCTGAAGTGTAGCACAACACTGCATATTCTAGGTAGTCACGTCCCACTTGGTACGCTTACACAAATCATTAAGATTCGATCGATTTTTTTAATCCTGATCAGCTTAGGACGCCTGTAAAGAGAGAATCACGCTCCGATGTCAAGTCAGGCATGTAGCCATTGTTAGCTACAACAGGCTGTGATAAGCTATTGTAGCATCAGATTCAGCCAAGCAGATAACAACTTATTTTGTTGCTGATTACTCTTTATTTTGATAGGGATACTCATTGTCTGCTATTGAGTCAATGACATCATTCTTATGGAATACTACTCAAGGAAAAGATGTGGTAAAGATACCACTGATCACCCAATCTGCAGAAAACTTAGCTTCCTGTCTTAACAGCTTGCTGAAGGCAGGAGCAGTCAATACATCAGATGTTGGTTCTGATCTTCAAGAAAAGGTTAATATTTGCCATCTTGCATTGTTAATGGCTGTCAATTGTTACTTCATTGAAATGCACAAGGACACCCTTTTGATCTATAACTTCGACGATAATCATAATTCCTTAACATTACCTAACTTGCATTTGTCAGTAATAATTAAGTGATAAACTATTACACTAACACCCCTTAAAGTGGTTATATTTTTCCCATGCTTCGCACTGGTTACATGTTTTCCCACAAATGACTCGTCTTTCATGTTTTCCTTGCTTACCATAGGTTACATAGCCTGCGAACGCAGACGTATTTACGGCTGTCGCTTGTCTCCGCCGAAAAATAACGTCTACGAACCCGAGCCAGGAAACGATTCCTGTGACGTAATGACTTTTGTTTCTCTTTGGCCAATCAGATTCCATGATACAATGAAACTCGGGTGCTCCTGGCAGCGAATACCTCGCGCAGTAGCTCTGGGGTTACTTGAGCTAAACTGTGATTGGCTTAAAATTCCTACGTCACAGAAATCGTTTCCTGGCTCGGGGTCGCAGACGTTATTTTTCGGCGGAGACAAGCGGCATCCGGAAATACGTCTGCGTTCACAGGCTACTGGTTACATGTTTTCACACACGACTCGCATTACATGTTTTCCTATGCTTACCACTGACTACATGTTTCCCCACACATGACTCGCCTTTTCTGTTTTCCTTGCTTAACACTGGTTACATGTTCCCCCAAACATGACTCGCCTTACATGTTTTCCTATGCTTGACACTGGTTACATGTTTTCCCACACATGACTTGCCTTACATGTTTTCCT